CAGGCAAAGAGAGGGCTGGCGCAGGGAAACGCCCCGACACAACCCTCAGATCTCGTGGGACTTACTCACTCTCACGAGATCAGCCTGGGAAAGACCTGCCCCCATGAGTCAATTACCTACCGCTGGGTTCCTCCCACAACCCGTGGGAATTCCAGATGAGATCTGGGTGGAGACACAGCCGAACCATATTATAATTGAATGCTGTTATGGCCAGACCCGTGTCCCCCTGCAGCTCACATGTGGAAGCACCAAGCCCCAATGTGACTGTGTTTGGAGACAGCTTTTAAGGAGGGGATTATGGTTATATGAGGTTAACAGGGTGGGCCCTAATCCAATAGGACCGGTACCCTTATGGGAACAGGCTGAGGGCCTAGGCAGGTGCCTGTGCAGAGAAAAGACCCTGTGAGGGCACAGCGGGAAGGCAGCCACCTGCAAGCCCAGAAGAAAGGCCTCGGGGAAACCAAACCTGCCGGCACCTGGATGCCGACTCCAGCCTCCACAACTGTGGGTAATGGTGTCCAGCAGCTAAGCCGCCCAGTCTGTGGGACTTGGTTATGGCAGCCGGAGCTGACTCCTACAGCTGCCAAGGATTGCCAGGACATTTGAGGAAAGCCTCCAGAAAGAAGGAAAATACAAATAGAACCAGAAAGAGGAAGAAAGAAATGAAAATTGAGAGAATAAAAAGAGGCAGTTGCAATTTAAAACATGATTGTTCACATTTAAAAATCATTCGAATAAATGGCTGAGTGTGGGGTCTCGCACCTGTAATCCCAGCACTTTGGGAGGCTGAGGTGGGCAGATCACTGGAGGTCAGGAGTTTGAGACCATCCTGGCCAACACGGTGAAACCCCATCTCTACTAAAAATACAAAGATTAGCTGGACGTGGTGGCACACACCAGTAGTCGAGCTACTCAGGAGGCTGAGGGAGGAGAATGGCTTGAACCCTGGAGGCCGAGGTTGCAGTGAGCCAAGATCATGCCACTGCACTATATTCTGGGCAACACAGTGAGACTCTGTCTCAAAATAAATAAAGAAATAAATAATAAAAATCATTAGAAAAATGGTGAGAAAGGAATATTTTGAAATGTACAACCAAATGGCAGAGGGAAGCCTGAGAGAAAGTTGAGAGCTGTGGTGTTTCATTCTAGAAGGTAGAAAGAACATCCAACCAGTAATGAGTTCCACAAAGTGATGAGCAAAAAATGGAGAGGAAATTGTCAACTCAATCATGGGAAATGTCAATCATACAGACATTTGCAGAGCTAAAGGGACCCACAGAATGCCCCACATAATGAATGAGACAAGAAAGTATCAAAATGACATCGAACTTCTCAACAGCCACACTGCATTCTGAAACTATAGAGAAAGAGCTTGAAAATTTTCTTAGATGATATTTAACCCAGAATTCTAGGTCTAGTCAAAATTTAGTCAATCTTGGGGGTGGAATAAAAATATTTTCAGGTATGTAAAAGACTCAGAAAAATTCCTCTCCATGTATTCTTTTTTTGGGAAGCTAACTGTAAATTGCAAATGCCAATAAAGGAAAAAGTAAATAAAGAAGACATGGGTCAGGCGTGGTGGCTCACATCTGTAATTCCACACTTTGGGAGGCTGAGGTGGGCGATCACTTGAAGTCAGGTGTTCGAGACTAGCCTAGCCAGCATGGTGAACCCTCATCTCTACTAAAAAAAAAAAAAAAAAAAAAAAAAAAAAAAAAAAAAAAAGCAGGGCATGATAGTGGGCTCCTGTAATCCCAGCTACTCGGGAGGCTGAGGCAGGAGAATCACTTGAATCCAGGAGGTGGAGGTTGCAGTGAGCTGAGATCATGCCACTGCACTCCAGTCTGGGAGACAGAGCAAGACTCTGTCTATTCAAAAAAAAAAAAAAAAAAAAGACATGGACCCAGGATGGTAGATGCAACCCCATTGAGAGGAAGAGTATGTGGGATGGAGAAGTTTAGGTGGACGACACAGCTGGTGGTAAAAATTAAGAAACAGTATTTACAGGGTAGTAAAGACGCGAACACAGATTACTGCATTAACCAAAAAACAAAAAAGAAAAACAAACAAACAAAAAAACCCAGACTTTTTTTTAGAAAAAATAAATTAGAAGAAATGAAGGCCATGTAATAAAAACGAAGTTGATGTATAAAATTCGTCGAAAAATAGAAGTCTAATAACTCTATTTAAAATATGAAGGTAACTGTCATAAGAAATAGATCGAAGAGTGAAATGTGATTGTATTTAGGGAGTTGAACTGGAGGCTGGGCAGGAATTGGGCAGAGACCTGCTGATCTTCTTTATAACATTTGTTTTTATTTTTTTTTGCATATGTATACATTGCATGGGAAAATATTTTTAAAATAAAGATTCTCTAAAAAGATTAGAAATGAAAACAAACCCTATCAGACAGCACGGATATTGGTAAACACAAGAGTACATCAGCCTCGGCCTTCCGGACCCCATCCCTTTCCATCACAACACGTCCCCCGCACCTGGAAAGTAATCACTGAAATTGCACCCCCGGCCCTGCAGGCCAGTCCATGCTCTAGGACCCTCAGCCAGAGTGGGATGGTGGGACAGAATGAGCTATAGCACAAATGAACTGAAACACACCACTTGCCCTGTTTGCAGCCACACAAATAAGCCACAACATACCCTTCTCCCTGACCTGGTTCACCGTGCTGCAGGTGGCAAGAAGGAGAGAAAGAGTTGTAACAGTCCTTGGGGGCTCAGACCTTGGGACCCCGCAGATGAGAGCCATAACACCCCTTGAGGCTCTGTGGTTGCTGGCATCTCTGAGTTTTCAGGCACCACCACCATGTTCCCCCTCATCCAGATGGTGGTGCCCAAGGTGGAAGATGGTTGCAGCACACCCAGGCCAGCCATGGGCTAAGTGCAGAGTGGTTGTGGGTGGAATCTAGGCCGGTAGTGTAAGCTCAGCACAGCCTGCTGGGTCGAGTGGGCAGAGCGAGCCCAGAGGTGAGCCCAGAGCCGAGTGAGGCCCTGGCAGGGGTGCTGAGCCAGCTGCAGAGATTTCCAGCTGGCAAAGTCGCACTGAAAGAATCCTGTGTCAATATGATTATTACTGAAAAATGAATTATTCTCTAGAAAGATTCTAATACATCAGGAAAACTTGGGGGCAATTCCCTTTAGATGTGAACGCTTATGAACATATCCCCAACCTCTCTCAATTTTCTTATTTATTAATATGAGCTTTTTTTTTTTTTTTTTTTTTTTTTTGAGAGAGAGTTTCGCTCTTGTTACCCAGGCTGGAGTGCAATGGCGCGATCTCGGCTCACCGCAACCTCCGCCTCCTGGGCTCAGGCAATTCTCCTGCCTCAGCCTCCTGAGTAGCTGGGATTACAGGCACGTGCCACCATGCCCAGCTGATTTTTTGTATTTTTAGTAGAGACGGGGTTTCACCATGTTGACCAGGATGGTCTCGATCTCTCGACCTCGTGATCCACCCGCCTCGGCCTCCCAAAGTGCTGGGATTACAGGCTTGAGCCACCGCGCCCGGCCAATATGAGCTCTTATATTACGTCTTTTCTGGGACAAGCACCTCACCTCCTAACCCATCTGCTACACTCCCACAAAACACAGAAAACTCCTCCTACTGAGAGATCGACCTGAGAGGTCCGCAGTTGGCTTTTGGACCTTGTGTCTTCAGAAGAAAACTATGTTCAGTTATTTTCTTTGCTAAAAGATGCTGAATTTAATGCTAGAAAAGCGCAGAATTTGTAAAATAAATTTCAATGAGGATTCATAAGTACAGCAAATAAAATTTTAAGTGCATTAAAGATACTTAGCAGATGAATAAAATAATCCTGTAGAGAAAAGGATGCAGCTAATAGTCACCAATATGCCCCCCACAGCCCAAAACCCAAGTCTAAATCTGCATCAGACTTTTCCCTCCTGCCCTCCTTCCTTTCCCCTTTCCCCTCTTCTTTCCCCTCTTTCCCCCGTTCCCTTTTCCCTCCCCTCCCCTCCCCTCCCCTCCCCTCCCTTCCCTTCTTCCCTTCCTTCCCCTTCCCTTCCTTTTCCTCCCCTCCCCTCCCCTCCCCTCTTTTTTGACAGGGTCTCACTCTGTTACCTAGGTTGGAGTGGAGTGGCTTAATAATAGCTCACCCTCCCAGGCTCAAATGATCCTCCTGTCTCAGCCTCCCAAGTAACTGGGACTACAGGTGTGTACCACCATGCCTAATTTTTTTTTTTTTTTAATAGAAATGAGGTCTCGCTATATTGCCCAGGCTGGTCTTAAACTTTGATCAAGTGATCCTTCTGTTTTGGCCCCACAAAGTGCTGGGATTACAAGCATGAGCCACTGTGCCTGGCCAAGTTTTTAAAAATATATGAGTCTATCAAGTCAGGAAAACATGACCATATGTTAGATAATATAACTATTTTTTCTGTAAATAATTGACACTTTTTCCCTGTGTGTGTGTGTGTGGTTTTTTTTTTTTTTTTTTTTTTTTGAGACAGTTTCACTCATCCAAGCTGACCTTGAACTCCTGGACTCACGTGGTTTTCCATGTTAGCCACCCAGTAGCTGGGATTACAGATGCCAGCCATTATGCCTAGTTTAAAATCAGCATTTTTTAACCCATAGCTTTCCTAGGACCATCTTAATACTGATCTCCGTATAAGAGCCAGGATTTTATGATACTGCTAAGCGCTTTTTCTCCTATTGATTTTTTTCAAATAAATAATACATTTACCATGTAAACATTAAGAGCATAAAGATGCGTATAATGAAAACTTTTCCTATTTTTCATGAACTGAAGCCATTACAATGCCCAGTCCACTTTTAGGGTGGTGTAACCAGCTTGGAAGATAGTCCTCCTTTAAAAAGTAAAATAAATCTTCTTAATCCTAATCCCCAGAGCCAGCATCTCCTTCCAAATGCAGCGATTGGATGTGCTGCTTCTGCTGATTACAGGTGAGAGGATTCCCCCATCTTTGTCCCACTTCTGACACGTGGAGCTCACTTCACTTACCACTGAGATAATTGCAATGGCTGCTTTGTAACTGCTGTGTTTTCCAAGTGGAGTCACAGGTGAAATGAGGCAGGGGTCTGGGCTGAATGAACTGAGAGATGTGAAGTTTTTTTAGATAGCAGGCTTTATGGTGGCTGGGTTCCAAGCAGATATTTGGTTGTGCTGGGTTGCTGGACCACCCAGCAGTACTTAAAAGGCAGTGCAGGCCACCTCACAAAGCCTGATGACATCACACAGGGCGTCACAGCCCCCAGGTGGCCCCTACCTGTAAGCTCCAACCAGCAGGTGGAATCCGGAAGTTCCCAGGTCCACGCTGAGAAAATAGAAAAAGTTTCATATTAGGTGAGGTCCAAATCCAGGGTGACTGTCTTTCTCTAGGCAAGGCCTAATTTTTAGCATTTTTTGAAATAAACTTAAGAAAAAGAACAAGCTTTCAGAAAACACGAAGAAACTTAAAGATGAGCCAAAGGGTTATTTGACTGCCTTTTACTTCTTTAGTCTCCATCACGCAACGTTTAGACGTCAGTACACACGTTCAGCCAAATGCTTGCGAAATTGCTTCTGAACCCATCCGAGGAGACTTGACCCTCCCGACTTGAGGATTCTGACTGTTTTGCCTGACACCAGACACACGCTGCCTCAGGGTCTGTGAGTGGAAGGGGGATGGGTGGGGACCTCCTGCAGCCTCTCGGGGGCAGATACTGAAACTGCGCCAAGGAGTTAATCCCAGGACGAACACATTTCTGAGGTAAGAGAAGCAACCTGCGGAAACAACTCAAACTCCGTCCGCTTATGAGATAACAAAACGGCAGGAACCAGTTGGAACCAATATGGCCAACTGGAGTTTCTGCAGAAGGAGCTTGCTGATGTCACGGCCTGGATTTCCACGCGTGTTTCATGCTAGCCGCCCTGGAATTTAATTTGCACACGGGACCCATGAGGAGGCATGAAGAGATAACTGCGCATGTCTGAGGACTTTCCAGACCTCCTCTTTCCTTCCACCAGTCTCCTGCAAATCCTGGAACCCACCCTCTAGCCCTTTTCTAATAAATGATTTCCTTAAAGGCAGCACAGCGAGACAGATTGGAGCTGAACTCCTGTGCCCTTGTTGGTCAACTTGCAAAGAAAACTTTTCTTTTCTCTAAAACCCAGTGTGTTAGTATAGACTTCTTGCGCATAGGTCAGTGACCTCTTTTGCTTGGTAACAACATGATGGGCTATAATGACCTCCTGGGGCAGACAGATGGGCATGAAAGATGCCCAAACCAAGCTCCTGAGCCACCTGTCTGCAGGCTGGATGGGAAGGTCCTTCTTGTCCTTTAATAATATTAAAAGTAAGCTTTTATTCATACTCGCCTCAAACCGGAGACAACCTAAATGTCTGTCTGTAGGAGAACGGACCCACTGTGGCATGTTCATATAATGCAGCACAAACCAGCAGTGAAAAACACCGAACTGCAGCTGCGTAAACAGGCATGCGTCTTGCAGACGTGGTGTGGAGCCGAAGCAGCTCATGGGAGTGCACGATTCTATTTCTGTGACGTTTCTGCGGAAAGAAAGCTTGCTGATGTCACAGCCCGAATTCCCACAGCATGTGGAAGGGAGCAAGAAAAGGCAAAGCTACTCGAAAGTGACGGAGCAGTTTATCTGTCTGTCAGTAACCGGCAACCCTGTTTGGGGACCAGAAACAGGGTTGCTGGTTCCTGAGAGGAAGCAAGAGCCCTGGAGTGCCAGAATGTTCTGTGTCTTCTTGGTCTGGGAGAGGGTGAAGGCTTCATGGAGCATACTTATACAAACGTGCATAGGGCTGGTCAATGAAAATGTGTATACTTCACTGTATGTGTGTCATATCCTCAAAACATGAAGGAAAAAAGTGAGTCAACACAACTTTAGGACAAAGATTTTATTGTGGGAGTTTTGCAACCATTACTGTATATGGTTTGGTTGCTGAAATAAAGTAAAATCTTTCTTTCTGAGAAAGGTGCATATACACCGAGTTCAAAGACGAGAGTTGGAATTGTGTTTATTTATTTACATTTATATTTATTTATTTGAGACAGTCTTGCTCTGTTGCCCAGGCTGGAGTGCAGTGGTGTGATCACGGCTCACGGCAGCCTTGACCTCTCAGGCTGAAGCTATCTTCCTGCCTCAATCTCTTAAGTAGCTGGGACTACAGGAATGTGCCATGACACACACCCAGCTAATTTTTAAATTTCATATTAGTTTTTGTAGAGACAAGACCTCACGATGTTGCTCAGGCTGGTCTCGAATTCCTGGGCTCAAGCTACCCTCCTGCCCTGGCCTCCCAAAATGACGCAATTACAGGCATGATCTACCGTGCCCAAACTTTTTTTTTGAGTAGGAGTCTTGTTCTGTTACCCACGCTGGAGTGTAGTGGTGCAATCTCAGCTTACTGCAACCTCTGCCTTCTGGGTTCAATCAATTCTCCTGCCTCAGTCTCCTGAGTAGCTGGGACTACAGGTGCATGCCACTGTTCCCAGCCGATTTTTGTATATTTAGTAGAGACGGGGTTTCACCATGTTGGCCAAGCTAGTCTCGAACTCCTGACCTTGTGATCCACCTGACTTGGCCTCCCAAAGTGTTGGGATTATAGGCGTGAGCCACTGCACCTGGCCTGGAACTTTATTTTTTAATCGAGATATTACATACCATACAATGCACCTTTCACCCATGCTGTGGCATTTGTCAGTATTTCATTCCTTTTTATGGCTGAATAATGATCCATTGTTTGAAAATACCACATTTATTTATCTGTTCATTAACTGGTGAATATTGAGGTGGTTTCCACTTTGGGGCTGTTATAAATAGTACTGCTATGAATATTCATGTACACGTGTTGTGTGGACATAAGTTTTCAGTTCTCTTTGAGTATATACATAAGAGTAGAATTGCATCTGGTAACTCTATGTTGAATTTTTTGAGTAATTGCCAGACTGTTTCATAAAGCAGCTGCATCATAGAATTTTTATTTCCAAGATTTTGCCCAAGGGAGAGGAAAACAAGTCACGAACAGCCCCTCCTCAGGGCTTGCCCTGCAGATTTCACACTCACTTTGCCAGCCCCTATCATTTTGCACCAGCCAATTCCTGGCATGCATTTCTTCATATGTATCTCCTACTGCTTCTGTTTCTCAAGTTAACTGAACTTACGCTTTCTCAAGTGTAACTACACACTTTTAAAAAAATACAGAACCACCAGGCTTAGTGGCTCAGGCCTGTAATTCTCGCACTTTGGGAGGCCAAGGTGGGCAGGTCATGAGGTCAGGAGTTCGAGACCAGCCTGGCCAACATGGTGAAACCCTGTCTCTATTTTGTAAAAATACAAAATATTTTGTAAAAATACAAAATCAATAACTAATTCATATGCTCTAAAATATTATTTATTGTCAACCATATTGTTTGTTTAGTCTTTGTTGAGAACAAGATTTGAAGTCCATTTTAAAAGAAAAGTGCCATTTTTTCATAGGACACACATATATAGTCCCAGCTACTTGGGAGGCTGAGGCAGGAGAATTGCTTGTACCCGGGGGGGCGGAGGTTGCGGTGAGTGGAGATCACACCACAGCACTCCAGCCTGGGCCACACAGTGAGACTCCATCTCAAAAAAAACCAAAAAACCAAAATGAAACCTAGAAAGTTCCTGCATGTTCCTTCCCTGTCAATGCTCATTACCATCTGGCACCACAAGCAAGCACTATTCTGATTTTATTTAGCATATATTAGTTTTGCCTGCTGTAGAATTTCATGTAACTGAAAGGATATGATATATGGTAGGAAACCTTGTGTAAGGTTTCTTTCATTCAGCATAATAATGAGACTTATCGTTTCATGAATCAGTAGTTTACTTTTTAATGATGAGTAGTTTTTTTATCATTAAAATCATATGGTTTGTTTATTCATTATTTTGTTCATGAATAGCTGGGTATTTTAGTTTGCTCAGGCTGCCATACAAAATACTACAGACTTGGTGGTTTAACAATCAAAATTTCCGTCCTTCCCTCCCTTCCTCCCTCCCTCCCTCCCTCTCCCCCCACCTCTCTCTCTCTCTCTTTCTTTCTTTTGTTTTTTGAGATGGAGTTTCACTCTTGTTACCCAGGCTGGAGTGCAATGGCGCGGTCTCGGCTCACCGCAACCCCCACCTCCTGGGTTCAGGCAATTCTCCAGCCTTAGCTTCCTGAGTAGTTGGGATTACAGGCACGCGCCACCATGCCCAGCTAATTTTTTTTAGTAGAGACGGGGTTTCACCATGTTGACCAGGATGGTCTCGATCTCTTGACCTCGTGATCCACCCGCCTCGGCCTCCCAAAGTGCTGGGATTACAGGCTTGAGCCACCGCGCCCGGCTCTTTCTTTTTTGAGATGGAGTCTCATTCTGTCACCCAGACTGGAGTGCAGTGGCACCATCTCAGCTCACTGCAACCTCTGCCTTCTGGGTTCAAGTGATTCTCCTGTCTCAACCTCCTGAGTAGCTGAGATTATAGATGCGGCCAATCATGCCCAGCTAATCTTTGTAATTTTAGTAGAGATGGGGTTTCACCATGTTGGCCAGGCTGGTCTTGAACTCCTGAACTTGTGATCTGATCCTCCCTGCCACTGGCCTCTTAAGTGCTGGGATTACAGGCGTGAGCCATCACACCTGGCCTGAAGTTAATTTCTCATAGTTCTGGAGACTGCAAGTCCAAGATCAAGCTGCTGCAGGGTTGAATTCCTCTGAGGACTCTCTCTGTGGCTTGCAGGCAGCCACCTTCTTGCTGTGTCCTCACATGCTCTTTCTTAGGTGTGCACACATCCATGGGGTTCTCTCTGTATGTGTTGTAATTTCCTCTTCTTAAAAGGGCACCAATCAGATTGTATTAAGGCTCACTTTAACAACCCCATTTTAACTTAATTACTTCTTTAAAGGCCCCATCTTCAAATATTGTCAGTACCATTCTAAGGTACTAGGAGTCAGCATTTCAACATGGGAATTTGGTGGGGTGCAATTCAGTCGATAGCACCACACTGCTTCCAGTTTGGAGCTTTTACCAATAAAGCTGTTCTGAAATTCTCGGACACGTTTTTCTATGGCACCAGGTCTAATTGAATGACATCATCAATACGGTGGGACAGCATGATGTGCTGTGAAAGGTCCAGATGAGCACTGTACCTGCAGAGCACATGTGAT